TGAGAAAACATATAATGATTTAAAATTTCATAAATGCTAGGCAGAAAAAAAAAGCAAAATCAAAACCCTCCATGAGATCAGGTGATTGCATTCTGGGGTATGCTTTCAAAAGACACTTCTACCTCTCAGAAGTATATGCGGAGTCTCCCAGAACACACCAGAAACAAACTGGCCTTTGATAGCAAATCATTTCACATGCTCTGAAATCTCGGAAGCTGTCCATAAGTTGAAATATTCTTTTTCAAGACACCGAAAAGGTCTGTTTGAATACAGCTATATAAAATGATTACTGCATTCTTTCTGCTCTAGGTAACCTTAATTCCAAAATAAGGTTTCTGGTTTACTTTTTTAAACATAGAAGTAAATTGTTTGCAGAAACAGACTATTTACCTAAATTTACACTTCTAGGAATAGGTATGTTCAAAATTTAGGATGAGCAGCCAAAACCCACAAATATCTCTGCACAATATGGAAAACTGCAGTATGTGACTTGAGACTACACAAGAAACATTTGCCAGGGCAGCACAATGCTCTTCCTTCGGCCAGCAGTAAGAACTGGCCACTGTTATTAATACAGTCATGTTGCCTCCACCATCCCATCTTGTACCATAAGGAGGACTGTGCCTTTCAAAATGGCTTAGAAATTATACCTTAAACAACCCCTCTGACCATTTAATCATTTACTCTTTCACGCATGACATATTGTTTTCCAATTCAGTGCCCCAAGAGACAACTTCCATGAGTATTTTTAAATGTTTTTTGACAGAAAACATTTTTGAGCTATACAGAGTAGCAAAGTTACTGGATGTGAACAATCTCCTTAAAAAAACATGAGGCCTCGTGTTAGATTAAAATTTTCACAGACTATTTTGAGATGCCACAGTTACAGGCACAACCGGCTTTGTATCCTGAAAGCTCAATCCATAGTACAAAATACATAAAAAGTTTTGGTTATCTATAACCCAGTTTAAAACTCTAGTGACTGACAATCAGGGAAAATCCTTCAAACTTCACAACTAAGTTTCAAGTTGGCAAATCCTACACTGTATTCTACCACAACTAGAGATACTTTTCTTCCAGATGTAAGACTTTATATGGAAATGGCAGAAAATAACCCCTTAATAACTAAATCTAACCAGCTCCTCTAAGTAGGGAAGCAAAAAAAAAAAAAAATCAATAAATCTTAAGTTTTTGGTGGAAAATCGTTTTCAAATTCGAAGTAAAATAAAAAAGCTAGTCAAAGAAAACACTTCTGAAAATTACCTACTGTCTTTTCCTTGTACCCTTTGCTATAAATATTTATTGCTATAAATATTTTTAGTAAAAACAAAAAAAGTCAGCTGATTAATTTACCCATTGCTGCATTATAGCAAAGCGTTGACTTTTTGACATAACTAGACAAACTGCAGTACATAGTCAGACATTCAAAAGGACATACATAAAGCTTCACAAAAGACTGAAACACCAAATCCCCGTACAACAGCTTGCCAACTATGCAATGCATCTTATTACCACCAGTTCACTTAGCTGTCAAAAAAAAAAAAAAAAGTCTGATACATGTCACTAACAGTACTTCCTTTCTTGCCTGGAAAGAAGCTCCTAGAAAGTTACAGACATGGCAAGCATAAAGTTACCCCTCAAAATACTACAAATTTGCCATTTCCAGGTTCACAGAGTATCACATTCAAAACTTGTGTGATTTAAGTTGACATAAATACTGCAGAAGTCAGCTACTTGTTGCCCAGCTAGCATAACACTTTCATCAGGCAGAAGGTCAACAGCACAGAGAGGGACAGGAGTGCAATAAAAAAAGCCAGGAAAAGCCAGGAGGGAAAGGACATTCATGGCAGAAACTAAACATTCCCCTACACCAAAAACTGAACAAGAACTGGAAATCCAGTAACTTTCCCCCCAGCACTTGGAAAGGCTTAACTGACAACAGTGCTAAATGTCAGAGACGCTTTCCAACACCTAATCCAGTGAGTCCTCCTTTGGCTTATACCATCTTGATGGCTAAGGTCAGTCTGGAAAGAAATCAACCCAAGCATCTAACCTTGCCTTTAATCAGCTGAGTTAAAGCAAATCTTCAAGTCTGGTTTTAAGCCAATAGAAATAAACAAACATCAAATAAAAATATTCGGCTCCCTGTTGCAGATTTATCTACTCAAATACACTTCGAGCCATGCTGCCTCATTAGTATGGAGTAACACAATCATCTCACAATCCATAAAACTCTCAATAACAACTCTCTTTCAAAACCTTGATTTGTACCATTCAGCTTATGAAATACACCTAAAGCAATTAAAAAGTATTACCTACCTCCAGTACACAAAACCCTGCACATCCTGCTTCTCATAAATTGTAAGGAGTTTTTCTAAAGATGTAGTGAAAAAAATTATGTGCCCTGTAATGTGTTAAGGTTTCAGGGTGACAGTTGCAGGACGGCCACCTCTGCAGTTGTTGCAAAAGGAAGGAAAGACGTTTGGGTGCTTCCTCCTCCCCCCCCACTTAACTGTTACAAAACTGTATTTCCAAATGTAAACCATACTGAATCATATTCAGGACAAACAATGAGCAGCTCATAATCTTCTTGATGCTTAACACAGGATACTGGACAGCTAAGCTGTGGATAGTGCATGGCTTGAAAACATATCCATAGATACACTGCCATTACAAATCCCTTTTAAGTGCCCATACAAGCAGCTGCCTTGTTCAGTACTCTCACACTTGGTCGAACAACCATGACTTCCCTCTAAGTTGATTAAGGAGTTAAACACTTCAATTACTGCAGCTATACTCCAGGCCCAGGGTGACTTCAGCAGCATTCAGATCTTCTGGACATTAGCAATTCATGTTGCAGGAGCAATCTCCTAAAAGCAAGCAGCTTGCAGGTACTGGAATTCAAGGAGAAGTTTCAAGTAACACATCGGGAGCCAAAAAACAGGTGGTTCCCAGATACATCCAGCAGAGTATCTCATGAATTTTAAAGACTGCAAAGTCTCTAATCATAAGATACACTGCTGACAAGTTGCTGAGTGACAAGATGAATGTTTTTCCTAGACTAAAGCCTAAACATGAGGTGAAATAGCAAGCTCCTTCTGTAAGCCAAGAGGACTTCATAACGCCTTCTCACAGGTTTTCCCTTGCTAACTGTAGCTTCTCACACATAATTTCAGGGAATTTGCTCCTAGCAGCAGTAAGCTAACCAGTATAAAACAGTGTTTTACCATCTACTACCAAAACAACTGACTATTTTTCAAGTTCAAAAGCTTCCATTTGAAAGACAATCTGTGACTTTCCGGAATATGAAAACTTAATTATGAGCACTGTCATCTTCAAAACTTGAACTGAAAGCTAAGCCTGAGATCAGATGTCACTTCACACAAACATAGATAAGGTATCACTTCACACACTAAGATTACTCCTGGCTCTGGGATCCTCTCCTTCCTCTTCAAAAAGAAAAAGAAAAAAAAATAAAAACCACACCACAGACAAAAACCAAATTATTTTTTAAAGCTTGGGGGGCTGGGAAGGAATACTTCCTTTAATTTATGTTAGCATTAAAAACAAAAAACCGTAATTAATTGAGACATCAGAGACTAACAATAAAAAATTGTTCTGCTGAAACAGGGGTATGGGATAAAATTATCTTGACCTTAAATAGGAAGGTCTCCAGAAAAGGAGATTATCCTGCCAATTCCCAGACAAAAAAAAAAAAAAAAAAAAAAAAAAAGAAATACATCCCGACACAGCCTTGCACTTGCATCCACAATGCTCGTCATAGGGTATAATTTCCAGAAAAACTCTTAGGTCACGAGTATGATTTCACTGAAGGATTAGCCAGAAGGTGGGGCTATCCCAGCAGCAGCATCCTGTCACCCATCATTACACGCAGCAATGAAACACACACTGAAAGCTACCTGCAAAACTGGGAAGCCTTTTCATTAAGTATAACCCGTGAAAGTAGTTGCAGATGTATTTTTCTAACAGAACATTACCGGTGAGAATACACTCGCTGGACAGCTAATTCTCTCATGATGCAAAAAGACACAAAAATTCATACCACAAGGCTATCCAGAAGTTTCATGGGTTTATACCATGCAGGTACACAAATTCTCACCTCTGCCTATAACAAACCGCAGATAGCTTACAGCTGCAAGCGTACATAACTGAAGTTCACCCAGGTCAGCATACCTAAGCATCTGACAAAGCCCAGGGCCTGAAAACAGTTTATAATGAAAAGAAACACCACACCACTCCCCAATCCACAGCCCATTTCTCAGATTCTCTCTGTCACGCACTTGAACCGACACCTAGAGAAGCATTTGCTGTGCTAGATTTCCACAACTGCAGTAGGAGGGAGGAAAATTAAAACACACCCAAATATTAATAAAGGCCTCCCCAGAGAACGTTAAGTTCAGCAGCCATTCAGCAGAAGCCATCCCGGCCGCCGTGTTTTCAACGCACTGCCTATGACAGGTTACGCGGTCGGGCCAGGCAGGAGCCACACAGCTACAGCCTCACCGAGAGCAGCGGGACAGGGGTCACCCTTAGCCTTTCCGCTTCGTGGAACGTAAAAGTTGTGCTGCAACGTCGACTCGGTGTAATGCCGAGAAGAGCCTCTGAGCGGGCCGCGCACCGAACCGTGAAGTGCGAAGAGTAAACGTCCCTCCCGCCGCGGGCAGACCCGACACCCCATTCAGGCCCCACGCCAGGCAGTGCTCCTACCGTAGGGCTGGTACCACCTCCAGGGCGCGGATCCCGGAGACAGCTGCAGTGGCCCCGCGTCCCCACGTACACTCGCCGTTCCCCGGGACGGATGACACAGCCACCCGGCACGGGGTGAATCCGTAGGGGGTAGGCCGGGCGCCGGGTAGGACCCCGCCTCGGTCCCGGCCCCGGTCCCTCCCCGCTGGCGCCTAGTCTTGCCCCGCCCGGCCCTGCCCCCACTGCAGCTCGGCCCGCACTAGGGAGGACGATGCGTGCTCGCGGGGCTTCACCTCTGAGGCCCCAGCCGTCTCGAGGGCCGGGGTTGCCCCGCAGCCCTCCTGAGGGGCGGGTGAGGCTGCAGGAGGGGTGCCCCTCACCCGCGGCGCTCAGGCGAGGCCGCCCAGCCGCGCCGGCCCGGCGGCTCCACGCTGCATCCCAGCCGCCTTCACGCGAGCGGCGGCAGGAACCTGCCTTCACCGCAACGCGTCACGGCCTCTCCTGCCGCGCCTCGGCCGTGCGCAGGCGCCGTCGCCGCCACGGGGGGGGGAAGCACGTTGCTAGGCCTGTGCGACACCTGTGCCGGCCCGCGAGGGACGGAGCGGAGCCAAGCTGGCGGGCGGAGGGCGAAGTGGGAAAGATTTTCACCTGGCCGCGAGCTGCTTTCTCCCGGTTCGCCTCAGGCGCAGTGCTGCTGCGGGCCTACCCCGCGGCACGGAGCTGCCAGGCCTGTGTCGAGGAAGGGCGCGGGTTGCCTCAGGCTGCAAGAACTGGGGGCGTGTGGGAATGCGATGGTTGCAGGACTAGCATGACTACTCGAGTGAACCTGCCTTGCCGGGTTACCTGTCACACCGTCCGCTCGCACCCGGGCTTCCTTCTTCCACTTGCGCGGTACGATGCCCCTCGCCTGGGGGAACTGTCACACCCTTTATTCACGGCAGGTAAGTACTCGCAACAGCAGTGAAGCCGCGGATCATAGAATCATAGAAGGTTTGGGTTGGAAAGGGCCATAAGATCATCTAGTTCCACCCCCCTGCCGTGGTCAAAGACACCTCACACTAGCTCCGTTGCCCAATGCTCTGTCCAGTCTGGCCTTGAACACTGCCAGGGATGGAGCATTTACGTCTTCTTGGGCAACCTGTTCAGTGCCTCACCACCCTCACAGTCACAGGGTCCTTGCTGCCTTGGGCACTGAGGGAGCTCTGGAGCAAGTAAGAAAACTCATTAGTGATTTGTAAAAAGCAAAGGCTTCATTTTCTCCCCCTCTCCTTCCCTTCCCCTCAAAGTCTTTGCAAAAGAGAAATACTTTATATGTTTAAACCTCTGCATGCCCAGGTTTGAGCTACTCAGTATCACTGCAGACTTCTGGAAGTGAGCAATTTAATCCTCACTCCTTGACACTTGTTTATCTGTAACAACCAAGGAGTGATATTTCCTTCTTCATTAAGTTCCTCAAACGAAAAAAGGAAACTGCTTAGAATTCTGAGGCCATGTGTATACAAAGGAGAAGCAGCCCTTTAGCGAAAGCTGGTAAACTGAAATTCAGTTCAAATCTCATTTCTACCAATAATACCTAATGATAAAAGCACAATCCCCAATAGAAATGTGCAAGGTTCTTTTCCCAATAACTATCTGCAACCATGGAGTTACCTGTTCTTACTCAGCAAAAAGCAGATTTCAGGTCCTTTACATTGTCGACATTTTTATTTATCTTGTCTTTCAAAATGCATACACCTGGCTACAGAACTTGCAAATACTGTCTTACACACTACAATTTATTTCACTCGAAAGGAACGAAGATACCCAAAGCAAGTAGATGTGCATTTTGGGTGACAGTTGGCAGCTCTTCCTTAGGCCTGATTCACCTGAATTTTACAGTTACTGCTGTTACTCGTTTAACACAGATGGTGTTTTAGTGTTAGAAAGGTAAGTTCTGTTTGTACCATCCATGCAAATGTTCACAGATAACCTGTGCAGGAGACATATCCAACTATACTTTCTCAACACATAACAAAGACACTTTACTGGCAAGTAAGCAGAAACTGCACAAGTTGGGGGCAGGGGACTACTTTTGAGTAACTATTACAGACAGGAGACACCAGTCCTCCTACCTGGGCCCGGTTAAATACAGTGTGACCTATAGCCAATCAGCATCAGCCGCTTTCTACCCATTAAATCAGGAAACTCAACTAGAGTTCTGGTGGAATTAATTCAAGTTTGAAGTGGTATAACGGTTTCTTTAGTCCATTACAATAAAATTCATGCATAAACACTCAATTACATATATTAAGTTCACTTCCCACCATATTAATATGAATGAATATGAGTGATTAAGGTATCATCCTTGATTTGATTAGTCTCTTGATCTTTCTCCAGCAAACAACTGAATGTTCCTAGAAACTCTAAACCTGTGGGTTACGATCAGAAAATACACATGTATTTGGAAGGAGATTCCTCGCTCACCTGCCGTACAGATTTCTCCAGTCATCTAAGTCTGAACAAGAAGGCGGCAGATAATCAGAATGTGGGAATTTACCAGTACACTGGCAACAGGTGGGGCCAATCTTGCTTCTTCTGTAACACTAGTCAGGCTGGATGACAATTAAGAGAGAATACTTAAAACAGCAAACAGTACAGCTACAAGTTTTCTGTGAAGTTCTATTCATGGAATTATTTTAAATGCATAACTTTGTTTAAAGCCAAGAAGAAGACATGGAATCACCTCAAGTATGACTCAGGCAAAGACAAAAATAGTTTCATGCAGGCTCTGGCAAGTAAAGGGATGTAGATAAAAATCTCTCAAATTTTTCAAAGTTGAAGTCAAAGTCAGTTTACTTAAGTCAGTTAAGAAAATAATGTTTTTAAATAGCTCTGTATGTGTCCTGGTACACTACAAAAATCAGCTCAAAATACGGTAATTCTTCACTAAAAAAAGACACAATAGCATATCCAAATTAAGACTGGCAAAAAGCGTTAACTTCATTTCAGAAAAAAACAAGTGATAGTAACATGCCTAATGCAGCTACTTCTATTGTGAAACCCATTAATTTTACTCATCGTTAATGTAAACAAAAAATACAGAAGATACACTTCTTAACAGGACAATCCAAACACATATGTCAATCTACACACAATGTGGAAAGGCAAGGACATCAGTGGTGTCCAGTGTCGTAAACATATAAGCTGCCTTTTTAGTTTACACAAATCACATTGCATTCATTTAGTATTTTTGACAAGGTAATACAAGCAATGAATCAAGCAACACTGCTGACGTTTATTCAGACGCAAGTTTTCAAACAAAGACAAGCTCCCCACTCCCGACTGCATGTTTATAGTCCATTAAATCAACATTTGCTACTATGTAAGCAGTACAGTATGACTTCCAGGATAAGACCATACAGCTAAAATAATCACAAATAATGTTAAAAGTTAATGATTATCCCCTCTGGGAGCATGAAAAAGCAAGGAGAATGAGAAAAAGCTCTTCAAAATACTGTAATGGGTAGCAATGCCTAAGTGTTACTGAATTCTATCTTCCTCCCCTGTAGTTATCACCTGCTTACTCATTGTTTCCTATTAAATCTTAAGCTGCACTAATTAAGTGTACCTCACCAGTTTCCATACCTCTATGTATTGAACATATCCAGTCAGTTCAAGATAATGAACAAAGCTACCAGCTCTCCTTAAGGCTGTAAAACAACCACTCCCTCATTTGAAAGCAAATACTTGTCTCCCCATATACACTAGATAATTTGTTGTGGCTGTTTAGATATGCCATCCCTTCCTAATCATTAGAACACTTGGTACTTCTCCAGCTTCTGTTCTTTTTCACCTCTGAGAAGATCTTTTGTGCTCTGTTACATGTATATTTCAATGCATACAAAAGCATTTCAGTTCAGCTTCACATCTGTGGTTCATTCATCTACTCTTGCTTTTGTAATATTACAAATGGAATAATAAATCAATATTCTTTGCACAATGTAATTAAGAACATACGTATTTGTACCCTGGTGGGTATTTTTGTAAAAGTGTTCTGGAGTTTGGGGGTGGGAAGGACAGGGTGTTGTTTTTGAAGGAAGGAAGGGGACAAATGTCTAAAGCAATACACATGTTTTGAAAGCTCGAACCAAACCATATGCCTATTAACAATCACATTTAATTTACATATGCAGGACATTAACACACCGTGACCAAAACCCAGAGCAAATCTCATGTGCTTCAGTCAAACAAGAACCTCCACACTCACAGTTAAAATAAAAATTCATGCATGTCATTTCATTTGTGCACTGAGGGCAACATGTTGCTGCTTCTTCATACCCTGACTATTATTTTTAGTTAAATCAGTGCACCAGGTTCTGACAGCTTATATTAGGACAAAGCTGTCAGGTAAGCTGTGAACCTTCAAACTGTGGCAGCTTTTCAGGTTTTTTGGTTCTGTTTTAAAACAGATCCTTAATTTGAAACAATCTGAATCTTCTTGTAATTTTTTTAACATACAGGCACATTAAAGAACAGCAAGACTTAAAATAAACTTTGGCCCAGCTGAAAGAAATATTCTGTTTGTGAAAGTATTTGCATACTTTCATATGCCTCCATTTTCCTTTTCTCCCCACACCAGTTATTTGTTAATAAGGGCATCCAAATCAATGGTAAGCTCCTGAAAAATCAGCGGTGCTTTAACTAGTGTAAAAGATAAAAAATAATCTTCAAAAATGTCTGATTCCTGCTTCTGGGGGTAAAGCTAACTGACAGTAACTTGCAGTAGGTGACCTCTCTTCCCACAATGGACTGAAGATGTTTCTGGAGGGACAGGGAAGGTTCTCTGTGTTGTTCAGAAAAGTATAAACAAATGATGTAATTTTGTACAAACAGGTCACCTTGGGACTCTCTTAAGATTTGTGATTTTTAGGGTAAACAAGATTTAACTATTTAACCTGCTTCCATTTATTTAGCACATTTTAAGTATAGCATGCACAGCATGAGAATACATTATAAAAAGACAAAACTTATTAGTAAATTGTGTTTTCCATTTTATTTCACTGACCTTTGTGCACACAGTACTTCAAAGACTGCCTTTTTGCTTATGCCAGTCAAAGCTCCTTTTACAGGAATTTTTTTTTCTTAAAACTGAACAGCAAAGGACAAGTTTCCTCATTTTTCCTCTTAAGTATCCTTAAGAAATTCATCATGCTTTAGTACGAGTTTCTGCAGTGTAAAAATAGGCACTCTGTATTACAAACTCATATAAAATACATCAGTACCTTCAAAATTAATGTAACATCACTTTGAAAAGACAAAAATAGCCGGTAGTCAACTGATTACACCATAAACTAGTATATTGTTAGCTGAAGCTTTCTTAAATTAAGCAGCCTATTCAAGTATATGATGACGATGATGTGTTCTTACTGTATTATAGGAACAAAGATATTTAATTAATGTTGAAGCGAGTTCCTCATAACTCATACATTTTATGTACTCTCACTTCAAGAAGGAAGCACACGTTTTAGACACAACCACAAGAATTATCTAGTTGCTTTTCTGTTTTGCTGAACACTGAGGCCTACCTTAAGGATCCTACACGTGTGTTCTTGGCTAAGGAAAACAAGGATACTTTTGCATTAAACACCAAGCCATTTTAAATACTAGTAACTTGTCATCTATAAAAAAAAAAATAATTCTGTGTGTGGAACCTAAAAATCAGTAAAAAGCAATTTTATTTCTCTGGATGTTCCCATGTGAGTATCACAAGTACCAGAACTTAGATCAGTCCTTTACAGCGCTCTATCAACATGCTTCATTGTATCATATCAAAGTGCTTTGATATTCTCAAAGTTATCTCAGTTTAGCGGTTACTGCACTGAACCTGTGTTAACTTTTAAACTGCTACAGTCATTTGACACACACATAACCAACTTGCTGTTCATTTTTGATGCTTGGTATTTTTGCAAGAGAAGTGGTAGTTACTTACAGTTAGTTATGAGGCATCCATTCATTGGTTTGTTAAGAACTGGACTGAGATCTCCACAATTACTTCACAAAAGCCAGCTCATAATTGTCACCATTCAGCCTGTGCACTAACACAAACGTGTATTTGCTAATGAAAGCATCTGTGACAAGCTTTAAACATACCACCTTTTCAGAAACTAATTTTCATTATATATGGGGGGGAGGGTTGTTAATTTCATGGTTAAATGATTATTACAGATTATTATATGGGCTATAGTCCTATTCTCTTGAATTTAAGAATGGAATTCCCCAGAAAATAAACAGTCTTTCTACAGAACAGAGTGCTGGTCCAGGCATCACTGTTTTCTGCATTAAAGATACAACTAGTTTTCATTTACAGATGTTTTAACCACTATCAGGTTTAACAATAATGATCTACTCTTTGCTGCCATAACCTTGAGATCATTACAAGATGGAGTTACATATATGGGGAACAGAAGGCTGCATTAAGTCCTCGTAGCAGCCTTCCAATATTTGAAGGGGGCCTACAAGGATGCTGGAGAGGAATTCTTTATCAGGACCTGCAGCAGTAAGACAACGGGTAGTGGGTTTAAACTTACACAGGAAAGATTTAGGTTAGATATGAGGAAGAAGTTCTTAACTATGAGGCTGGTGAGGCACTGGCACAGGTTGCCCAAAGAAGTTGTGGATGCCTCACTCCTGGCAGTGTTCAAGACTAGGCTGGACAGGGCTTTGAGCAGCCTGATCTAGTGTGAAGTGTCCCTGACCATGGCAGAGGGCTGGGACCAGATGATTTTAAGGTCCTTTCCAACCCAAACCATTCTAGGATTCTATGATTACCCAAAAAATTACATGTAAGTACAGTGCAACTATGAATCATCAGGCATTTCCAACAGCCGCTGAACTAAATGCAATTCTGACATATGAAGTAGGTGCTGTCATTGGTTTAACAGTTCATACTGAGCTTTCTCCTGTTACTTTCCTCCACATACAAATGCTCTGTGCTTTGAGCACACGATGAATAGAAAGGGTGATGGGAGAAGCTAATGTTTTAATTTTAAAATCTAGCTACTTCCTCATAACCTCAAAGGTAAAACCTGCTTAAGCTAGCCCCTATTTGGTTAGTAAATTAGATTAGCCGCTGTCTTTTGCTGGCGATCTTTGCTAGAAACACTGGACGCATTCGGTTTATGCATTTTGAAAAGAAAAATAAAACATCCAACCCACTGTAAAACCGGCTCTGAAATGTAGTTCCCTTAGACATCTTTTGTCCGCTGGTTCCCCCCTGACAAAAGAGATAATCAGCATATCCCAGTGCACTCTGCAGAGCAACAGTTACGTAATCTCTATCAGATCTGCTTCATTAAATCAGAGAGGACAAAAGGAAGAAGAGGAAATGTCTGACACGGGAGAAAAATAAGAAAAAAAAAATCGCCTCAAGTCTTCTTCCAAATTCGGCAGTGCAAATTCGGCACACTGCCAGAAGGACCGCATAGCTGACCCACCCGCCCCGCTCACTCACGACTCCCAGAACACCGCAGTCAGCACTGCGTCTTCAGCAAGCTCCGATTCGCAGCGAGGTGCGATCAGCCGGCGAGAAGCCAGCAACCGGACCGAGATCGGGCACCACGGATGCCTGCAGAGCCGCGAGCTGCCAGCGGCAGCGCTCGCCAGCACCATCTGATCTGGGTCAGATCTATACACGCACACCCTGCGCTCTAGCTCAGGAAGGGCATCCCACCCGCTCGCACCGCCGCCAGGCATCAGGTCCTTTCTCAGTGTTCTCCCAGACCAAGCCGAGCGGTCCCAGCTCCCTGGTCTACGGAGAAAGGCTCCCCCTCCCCTTCTCCCTCACCCCCGCGCCGCTCCCCCACAACGGGTGGCTCAGGGCACCCTCCCCAGCACCGAGCTCGGCAGACCCACGGCTTCCGCGTACAGACTGGCCCCAGCCCACCCCTTCGTGGAACTCCCACCTGCCCGCCTCTCCCCTGACAGCCACCCGGCCGCCACCCCCCCACACCCGCAGGCTGCTGCCGCTTGTTGGCGCACGCGCGCACGAGCTCACGCTGGAGGCGGAATGCGCTTGCGCCGGGAACACCAAAGATAGGTTCGCGGGCTGGCAGCGGGGTGCGCGTGCGCGGGTCTCGGTTTCGCTCTGAGAGAAGGAGGGAGCGGGCGGGCGGTGCCGGTGAGCCAGGGACTGAGAGCGGCTGAGACGGTGAGTTCGGCTGGGCCCCTGCCCCGCGCGGTGGCGGGCCGCCGCCTCATCCGCTTGGGGTAGAGCCACTGCTTAGCGTCTTGCCAGGCAAAAACACCCAAGGAGGGAGCATGGAGCGAGCCAGCGGCACTTGTGACCCGCAGCGGTTTTGCCCCGCGGCGGGGCAGGAGGGCCCCAGAGGGTGCCTATCCGTGGTTGGGTAGGGGAGACCCGGCATGATTCAGGCTGGCTGCCGCCTCTGTGCCTCGGCAGGGCCCGGGGAGCGACCGGGCAGCCGGGGACGAGACAGTGCCGGGCGTGGGGACGCGTGACATGTGGGAAGAGGAGCGCCGGGAGGGTCTGAGTAAAGCGGCCGTGACGGCTTTCGAGGGGCTGTTTAGAGCTTGCCGGGCTGGAAGGTGACCCTTGGAAGATCTCCGACCAGGTAAGGGGAAATTTAGCGCTGCTGGTATCGATCGCAAAGACAGACTGACCGGCAGAACGTACAATCTTTCGAAGCTCCCCGGCGTATCGCAAGATTGCAAAAGCACAATACCCGTTTGAGATAAGTAGTCGGTGGAAGTTTGGAAATTATATGCCATCTTGAAGTTGCTTAACATTCCTGCGGTAATTCTGATACTACTTTATGCTGAAGTCTGGGGAAATACGCCTGTTTTCACAAACTTGTTTAGATACACTTTGTGCAAATAATAAACATGTGGTCAGCTTTACAGTTCCCTCTTTGATTCCTTGTGTCTTTCTGATAGTGTGAAACAACAACAAAAAGATTGTGATATCTACATCAAGAGGATTTGATACTGTTGCCCATTTGACTTCTGATTTGATAAAACACTTTGTAATGGCTCTGTTAAGGACACTAAAACTGCTAGAGTTCTGGTGTCTTTACTGGCAGAGGTTTCATAGCCTACAGGGTACTTGCAGAGAAGTAGTGACCAAGGAAACTTTAAAATCATTTTGATTCTTTTTTTATTTTTTTTTTCTGGTATTATGTAATGTTACTTTTTAACTGAAATCAGGTTAGTTAGCCTCCCTTTCTCACCTGATTCTTCAAAAGAGGGAAAAAATATGAAGTCTCATAAGCGCTTTCTCTAGTTTGTACCTAATGAGCATTGTCTCTGATATGGATTTAAAGGTGCAGTATCATGGTTATGAAAACGACAGTAGATGATGATGATTCAGGATGGGAACTTGGTATGCCTGACAAGATGGAAAAAAGTAATACAAGCTGGATAGATATAACACAGGATTTTGAAGAAGCTTGTAGAGGTGAGTTGTACTGCTGTGTTCTGAGAAGACTTGGAATTGTCCTTTGGAGGACTAAGTATAGTTTTTTGAGGTGTTTTAAGTAATAGTTTGGCTCAGGTTCAAGCTCCAGATGAGCAGAGTACATTGATTCTGTGTTTCCGTAGAACTTCCTGTGTAAGTTAACTGTGAGGTTGAAAATATCAGAAGAACCTCACCTTGCTTACTCTTCCAGGTTACATAAGTATCTTTTTCAAGTTGTTTTTTCATCTTATGTACTTTTGCACCTGTTTTTATCTTTGTTTTTTTTTTTCCAATCTCTTCTGCCTAATGGAAACCTCATTCATCCATGCATAAACAACACTGTTTTCTCCTGTACATTTTTTGATCTAGTGATCTACTGTTTGTGTACCTACAAAATACATCTAAAGGCTTCATTAAAAGTAAAGAGGAAAAGCAAGTCTTTCAGTAAGCTTCCCTGGAAAAAAATCTGACTTCTGCATGAAGAAGCACAGAAAATTGTTGTTCTGTGTTCCAGGCTTTTCAGATGCTACTAGGTAATTCTAAAACCCCTTTAACTGTTGGAATAGTAGAGAGGGATGAGGAAAGACTGAGCAACTGGGCTTCTTAGACTTGCAGTCTTGAAAGAGCTTTTAAGTGAAAGTAAATGAAGGCAGAGTAGCAATACTTGGTCGGTGTCCCACACCTTGTTCTCTATTGGCATAAGGCAGTTTGGGAGTGACAGGTATATCCTGGAAGATTTGCCCTAAAAGGATGACTTTAATTGCTTATCCTGTTCTCTTTCTTTGTAGAACTGAAATTAGGAGAACTGCTTCATGACAAGCTGTAAGTATGCCTGTGGGATAGTTCTGATTTTTAGATAGGGTTAGTGCCAGTATTTAAATATTTACTAATAAATCATGCAGTATCAACTAAGCTTTTTAAAACTTTTACCTTAAACAGTTGAAGTATTTGTAATATCATTTGTCTTCAGCAGTAGGTACACAATGCACCTGTTAACATGCTGAACATTTTTTATTGTGCCAGTATTATATTTTCAGTTAATCAATGTAGTTTAGAAGTTGGTAACATGTATTATGATCAGTGGTGTTGACACTTACAAGCTATTTTATTTGGACATACTTAAAAAAAAGCCAGAAAGACTTTAAGATTTTAAATCTGATTGCTTTAAATGTCACTAACAAGTTTAGGATAAAAATCAGTATGCTTTAAAATAACTCTTAAATGACATGCTAAAATCAAAATGGAGAGCTCTACAGATTAAGAAAAAATATATTTAAAAAAAAGCATGTGATAAAGTCTTTCTGAATTCATTAAAACATGATGCAAAATTAACATACCTTAAAGATAAAATTGTTTAGCCACATGAGTCTGCTGAATAAGAAAAATTGAATGAGAAAAAAGTGCTTATTTAGTCGAATGGTTGGAATTGGAAGGGACCTTAAAGATCATTCATTTCCCACCTCCCTGCCATGGGCAAGGACACCTTCCCCGTGCAGGGACACACCTTCCACTACACCAGGTTACTCAAAACCCTATTCAGCCTGGTCTTGATCACTACAAGGGATGTGTCAGCCATAACTTCTCTGGGCAACCTGTGCCAGTTTTAGGAATAATAGATCAGTAAACAGAATCACACTGTTAAAATACTACAAATTAATAATTACATTATTAAATTACAAGGTGAAGTACAAGATCCTGTACCTGTTTCGGGGCAATCCCAAGCACAATTACAGGCTGGGCAGAGAAGGGATTGCAAACAACCCTGAGGAAGGACTTAAGGGTGTTGAGCCAGCAGTGTGTGCTTGCAACCCAGAAAGCCAGCTGTGTCCTGAGCTTCATCAAAAGGAGTGTGATCAGCAGGTTGAGGGAGGTGATCCTGCCCCTCTGCTCTGGTGAGACCCCACCTGCAGTACTGCGCTCAGCTGTGGTGCCCTCAACACAGGAGGGACATGGACCTGTTTGAGCAAGTCCAGAAGTGGGCTACGAAGATGTTCAGAGGGCTGGAGCACCTCTGCTATGGAGACAGGCTGAGAGAGCTGGGCTTGTTCAGCCTGCAGGAGAGACCTTAGAGCAGCTTTTGCACACCTAAAGGGGGCCTGCAGGAAATCTGAGAAGGCACTTTTTACAAGGATCTGTAGTGACAGGACAATGGGGAATGGCTTTAAACTGAAAGAGGGCAGGTTTAGATTTGATAATAGGAAGAAGCTTTTTACTGTGAGGGTGGTGAGGCACTGGCACAGGCTGCCCAGAGAAGTTGTTACTGCCCCATCCCTGGAAGTGTTCAGGGCCAGGTTGGATAGGGCTTTGAGCAACCTGGTCTAAAGAAAGGTGTCCCTGCCCATGGCAGGAGGGTTGGAACGAGGTGATCTTTAATAAACCTTCCAACCAAAACCATTCTATGAAATGCAAGCCTGCTTAAAGATGTGTGCAACAATGTCACCAAGTAGTTACTTAGTAGAATCAAATGAGAATTTTGAGGTAGAATTTTATACATAAGAGTATTTCAGAGCAAATATGCTTTTCTGAATCAGAATTCATACATGCGCAATAATATTTTCATAATAAATGCTCATGTGGCAGTTTGGATCAATATCATATATACCAAAAGCATATGGTTTGCATCTATATCCTTTCCTTCTGTAGGCCAGTCTTTTGTGTGGTTCTCCTGCAAGCTTTTATGCCATTACTGCAAGTGATCCATTGTCACATGCCGAGTTTTTTTTCTATCAGTTTTTTAACATGCCCATTTTAAACAAAGCTGGTATATTCAATGTATCTTATTGTCAGTCTATGTTATCATTAGTTTGTGGGGACATACCTTGCTTGAGTTTATGGATGTAGTATAATAAGAACCAGCTTGTCTGGATAGTACCAGTTTGTTAAGTGATCTTTAAAAAGATTGTTACATCATTGAGGTGTAAAGAAACAAGTGCACATAGCTTTAGTAGTGGGATATTTGGCTCAGGACTGTTCTTCAGTTTTCTTGTAGCCATCTGTTCTTTTTCACTTGTGGTGAGATCCTCAAATTCATGAAAACCATGATCTCTGAAGATCCGTAGTGATGTTCAGATACCTTTCTTTATTGTCTGTAGTGACGATACAGTGTGCTCAGTTTGTTGACATAGGTTTTTTACACTGTTTTATAAAGACTGTCTTGTATACAGTAACTTCATTCAGAACATATTTTTATTGG